TATTTTTTATTTATTTTTTTTTATTTTAGCTGGACAGACTCCCCCACGTCCACCTTTAGGTCCTCCTGGCCCACCAGGCCCACCAGGCCCTCCACCTCCTGGTCAGGTCCTCCCACCTCCATTAGCTGGACCTCCTAATCGTGGTGACCGTCCACCACCACCAGTTCTGTTTCCAGGACAGCCTTTTGGTCAGCCTCCACTTGGGCCACTTCCTCCAGGCCCTCCACCACCAGTTCCAGGCTATGGGCCACCACCAGGTCCGCCACCACCTCAGCAGGGTCCACCTCCACCTCCGGGTCCATTTCCCCCTCGTCCACCTGGCCCTCTTGGGCCACCCCTGACTCTTGCTCCTCCTCCACATCTCCCTGGGCCACCTCCAGGTGCTCCACCACCTGCACCACACGTGAATCCAGCTTTCTTCCCCCCACCTGCCAATAGTGGCATACCTACTTCAGACAGCCGTGGCCCACCTCCGACAGATCCATATGGCCGACCTCCGCCATATGACAGAGGTGACTATGGGCCACCTGGAAGGTGAGTGCCTTTGGTGTAATGTGCTTGGTAGCAGATTTTACTCCTTTTGTAGGAAGCATTTGATTTTCCCTTTTAGTGCAAATGTTAGAAATAATGAAAAATAGGGCTGGAAGGGATCCCAGCAGTCTTCTGATTTGCCCCTTTTTACTTCTCTTGGTGAAATATCTCTCAGAAACATGTTTGTAGCAGTAAGAAAATCCTGAAATGCAACACCAGTAATCTCACTTTCCCTTTTCAGCTCTGAACTGCTTGTCTGCACTATTTGTAGTTGGCGGTGTCATCATTCCATGTGTTCTACATGCAATCTTGTATATCACTTCTTATGCAGCAGCTTCTGGTTGTGCTTCTGTGTTAACTTGAAATTCTGACTTGTGCCTTTATCATTGTGCTTTGCAAGCTGTCTTTTTAGAATGCTGTGGAGTTCTCCTTTTTGAATATGTGCATATGTTGAGTACAGTGCCATACCAAGCTCATACCATTTTTATCTTTCAGCAGCTCTGCTTGTCCCTTTTGTCTTTAGGATTCAATTAAAAGTTAGTCTTTGTCTCAAAAGCCAGGCATGAATTTACTGCAAGACTTTTATCTTCCTTTCCTGTGAAGATGCTTCTGCTCAGTTGGTGCAATCTTGCTGTGTTTGTAGCAGTGGCTTTTCCTGTGGTTAATCCTATCTGGGACAGAGTTCTTGAGTCTTTCTGACTTGACTTGTCAAGTTTTTCACATCTTGTTTGAAACATGTTTTTCATTTGTGCTTTCAAACATCTCTGTCTTGCTGCTGTTTCTTGATTTTCACCATATTTGTATTTCTCACAGGAAATTTTGGGATAAATTGTAAGAAAGACGCTTTTAACATAGTTACATTTGGATTTTTCAGTTGTGATTTTACTGTTAGCATGAGAGATGCTTCTCTTGCTTAAAATGTTTTCTGCAAAGACACTTTGATTCATCTTTTATCACAAAGTTTAAAAAGCCCCACGCATCTGTACATACTGTGTTCATACAGAAACTATAGAAATTCAAGCATATGGCTTAATTGCCTGAAATACAATAAAACAATAAGGTGTTGGTTGTTTTTTGATGGACAAAATCGAGGTTGTCTGCAGTTTATAGAATGTCTGGGGAGGGAAGGAGTGGGAATAGGACAGTATAACTTACTGTCCAGTATTTTCATTAATAATGTTAAAACTATCATCCATAACTATTTAAATTGTCATTAATTATATATCATAGGCGTTTCACTGGAAATAACATGTCCATAAGAGAAAAATTACATATTCCATTCTATGGGAGGCACACGAAAAATAATACTCAAAACTCAGGGAGGTATGAATTTTTAGACATTTCCTCTTATGCTAAACTGGCTATAGGATCTTGTTCCACTTCTTGCAATTAAGAGGATAGCATTGCTTATTATTCTGCATTTTCTTTCTACCAGAAGAACTAACACTGTTCTAGAAATATCAAGCAGTGGGCCAGTTTAACAGTCTCAACATTTGTCTCTAACACATTTCTCTAAATTTTCTATATGATACAGAGACTGGCTAATAGGACACTGCAAAACTTTTGGGAAAATTTTTGTGTAGGTTAACTTCTGTTACTTTGGAAACCCTATATAGGTAGCTAATAATTAAAGTACAAAAGTGTAATGAGTATGAGGATTCTGCTTTATTGCTTCCTCCTTACTGTGACCAGTTTGGAGATCAAATTGGAGCACCTTGAACTTGACCAGAAATAAAAAACCAAAATCAGCTGTAAAATGTTGAAGTATCATTCAGAAAATTGAGTGTTTTAAAGATGATAGACTGTATTTGTTTTTCATAAGTTACAGCATTCTGGTCTTAGTTAAGATCTGGGAAACAGGATCATATAGTTCTAAATCCAGTACTGTTATAAAAATGATCTCTAATTTTGCACAAAGTCACATTGCCTATGTACATGTATTTCCACATCCATTCAATTGGGATAATATCTGCTTACATACCTTCAGGGATTTTATGAAAATTATAAATATTTGTAAAGCACAATATTAAGTGCTGCTGAATCTTCAAAATAGATGGGATGAAGAAGAATAAGTCTATTTATACAGCAATGTCTTAATTGGGTGTTTTTTTTGGTGGTTTTTTTTTTTTTTTTTTAGCTTTCAGGATTTTATACTGTAACATGGTCCCTAACAAAAACCAAACCCAGATCCTGCTTTCTTTTCTGTTTGTCACTTTGCTTAAAGTTGCAAACTTGGGTTGTTAAAACTGCAATGATATCTTCTTAAGTGTTTCTTAACCTTTTAAATACTAGTTTTATTGCTTGCAGAGAAATGGATGCTGCAAGGACACCTCTAAGTGAAGCAGAATTTGAAGAAATCATGAATAGAAATAGGGCGATCTCAAGCAGTGCCATTTCGAGAGCTGTATCAGATGCCAGTGCTGGTTAGTAAAACTCGATTAATGTGTTTGCTATTCTACCCATCTGAAAAGAGTTTACAGTTTTTCTGTTAGGAAACTTGCAGCCCGGAAGCCCCATTTTCATAATAGGAGGCTGAATGTAGGTACAACCTATGACTGATTTTGTACTGTTCTCCAGTTAGTTTCTGAGAATGCTTTCTGAGTACTGGTCTGGACAGTATTTTAATATTTGGTTCTACAGTAAATGGTCTGGATGGCTGTTGAAGAGAAGATACTCGAAATGGTAATACTATTGCAGATAAAAATATTTGTTTTAATTTGCGTAATTTTCTGATCATGATCTTATCATTTTCAGGGGACTATGGAAGTGCTATAGAGACCTTGGTAACTGCAATTTCCTTAATTAAACAGTCCAAAGTATCTGCAGATGATCGCTGTAAAGTACTTATTAGCTCTCTTCAGGACTGCCTTCATGGAATTGAGTCCAAGTCTTATGGTTCTGGATCCAGGTAAAACTTTCCTCTTCTGTCTGCCCTTTCTTATAAAAAGGGAAGGTATAGCGCAGGACTAGTTCACAGAGAAGAAACTAAGTCATGTAAGAATGTTCTGGATGAGGGGATTGAGTGTGCCCTCAGTAAGTTTGCACATGACACCATACTAGGTGGGAGTGTCAATCTGCTCGATGGTAGGATGGCCCTGCAGAGGGATCTGGACAGGCTGGACCGATGGGCTGAGGCTAATTGTATGAGGTTCATCAAGGCCAAGTGCTGGGTCCCGCACTTGGGTCACAACAACCCCATGCAACGCTACAGGCTTGGGGAACAGTGACTGGAAAGCTGCCTGGCTGAAAAGGACCTGGGGGTGTTGGTCAGCAGCTGGCTGAACATGAGCCAGCAGTGTGCCCAGGTGGCCAAGAAGGCCAACAGCATCCTGGCTTGGATCAGGAATAGTGTGGCCAGAAAAAGCAGGGAGGTGATTGTCCCCCTGTACTCGGTGCTGGTGAGGCCGCACCTGGAATACTGTGTCCAGGTCTGGGCCCCTCACTACAAGAAAGACCTTGAGGTGCTGGAGTGTGTCCAGAGAAGGGCAACAAGGCTGGTGAAGGGTCTGGAGCACAGGCCTTGTGAGGAGCGGCTGAGGGAACTGGGGTTGTTTAGCCTGGAGAAGAGGAGGCTGAGGGGAGACCTTATCGCTCTCTACAACTACCTGAAAGGAGGTTGTGGTGAGGTGGGTGTTGGTCTCTTCTCCCAAGTAGTTGGTGATAGGATGAGAGGAAATGGCCTCAAGCTCCATCAGGGGAGATTTAGATTGGTTATTAGGAAAAATTTCTTCACGGAAGGGGTTGTCAAGCATTGGAAGAGGCTGCCCAGAGAGGTGGTGGAGTCCCCATCCCTGGAAGTGTTCAAAAAACAGGTAGATGTGGCACTTGGGACGTGGTTTAGTGGGCATGGTGGTGTTGATGGTTGGACTGATGATCTTAGAGATCCTTTCCAACCTTAATGATTCCTGGTTTTCACTTCCATTAAACAATAATCCAGCCACCAAGCCAGGAAGCATGAAATTAATTATGACTCTACCCTCAATTGGTTTAGTGGTGGACTTGGCAGCGTTAAGTTAATGGTTGGACTGGATGATCTTAAAGGTCTTTCCCAACCTAAACGATTCTGTGATTCTAAGAAGCTTAGTGATTTGCTGAGCTGCACAAGAAATGTGTGAAAGAACCTAATGGGGGTTTCCCAAACTTAGCTGCCTTTTAATTAACTGTCTTTTCAAAATTGATCTGACTAGCTTAAGTTTAACTCTTAGTTTTATTTAGTATCCTTTCCTACATGGTATTCTTGCAATGTGTAGACTTCAAAATAGAAATATCCTTTACTAATTAAGATGTCCAGTGCATAATTTTATTAGAATTTGCTATTGAAAATTAAGGGTGAGGGTATTTGACACCAGTTTTCATTTTGCTTAAAAGTAATTTTCTCCACACTTGTCACACTTGAGTCCGGGGTGGGGGAAAAGTTGGGCAGAATGATTTTGCCTGTTGTCCTTTGTCATATAAATGTAAAAATTGAGAGTAGGTAGATTTGAAATTAATGAACTTTTCTACCTAGTACAAATAGGAGATTGATACTTCTTTCAAAACTTAAATAATACCCCTTTCAGAGTTAGGACAAACAGTGAGCCTCTAGTTCATTTGGATACTGTAGCAGTAGTGTAGTTGGCTTTGAATATTAAAAACACAAAGACAGCTGGTTTTGGCACATACTTTCAGTACGCAGATTAGCAGCCATGTTGTAGTGATCACTGGAGGTATGGTGCGCTCCCCCAGCTGTTTTCAGCCATCTTGTCCTCCATTCTGAGTATGTACTTTCTGACTTTTCCTTGATAGATTAGAAAGTGGATGCACCTTACTATCAGTTACAACTGAGGTCTTAGCCATCACCTTTTATACCAGCTATCTTTCATGCTATATACAAAAACATCACAGTGAACAGGTGTTTCTCTCATATGAAATTCATACCGTGAAACAGAATACAAAATTGGCATGTGGATGACTTGTATTTTGAAGAAAAATTTAATGAAGTAATTTCTTTTAGAAGACGTGAGCGATCCAGAGAGAGGGACCACAGTAGGTCACGAGAAAAAAGTAGGCGCCACAAATCACGTAGTAGAGATCGTCACGATGACTATTATCGGGAAAGAAGCCGTGAAAGAGAGAGGCATCGTGATCGTGACAGAGATCGCGACAGAGAACGAGACAGAGAGAGAGAATATCGTCATCGTTAAAGAAGGTGAGCATCTGTTTCATGTTCTTGAACTTTACTGTTACTGATTTACTAAAAGTAACTGCTCTAGGTTTGGGATTATTTACACCATTAATACCTGCATTTAAATGGTCCCGCAGTATGTACTGAATCACTTTCTCCTTGCAGCATCTGTCATGAACATAGGTAAGTAACGACAGGTAACTGGTCTCGGGAGGGAGGGAGTATTTGTGTGATTATCTTCTGCAGTTTGCATGCTGCCTTTTTAATTTCAGGTGGTATTAATGTTTGCAGTTTTTATGAAATGCAATTAAACCAATTCTTAAAAAAGCAGTAAGCCAGACTGATAAGTCTGCTCTCTTTGTAATCTTAGACGATTATATTAAACTTATGGTTGTATTTCTTGTATTTTAAAATAGTAGTTTTGTATTTTAAAATCTACTTGTGTAAGGACTGCAGCATTGAGCCATTCGTATGTCATGTGTGGATTATTTCAATTTAGGGAACACATGTACATACAGTTGCTGTCCTTGCACGAATACAGCGTTGTTTTGTTGGTTCCCCCCGCAATGAGTTTTACTCAAATTCAGGAAATACAGCCAGACTTTGCTGCTTATTTTATGAAACGTGACCTGTCAGTATCTCCTTCTAGCTAAATTCAGGTGTTATGTTCAACAAGATTTATGATCAGTTGTTCCCCACCAGCCTGATTTTTCATTCCCTCCCCGCTCTGGTAGTGAAGTCATTTTCTGAAGACTAGTAAACAAATGTATGACACAAGGATTACGTCTTTTCTGGTTGTTCACAAACTAATGTGTTCTTTTATTTCATGTATTTGCAGTCTTGCATGCGTCAAATGTCTAGATAGCTACAGAGTAGCATGCTAAATGATAATTTTTTCAGTGTACTGCTGAGAGCTTTAAAATACATAGAAATGTTCATCACATTATATAATGTACCATTTTGAGGATTGGGAATTCAAGCTACCCATGATTCCTTATATGTGATAATTGGGAAAACCCCTACCTGTTAGTTTCTCTGCAGTAGTCTTTTTTCCTTTTTAGAATAATTTCCCACTACATCTACACTCAAATTGAAGCTTGTGGACTTGCCTGTCTGCCTAGCTTCCATTTCTTACATTTACCCTCAGATTTAGTTTCCAGATTTGCATGTGGTATTTATTCATGGAAGTTGATTTATGGAAGTTAAAGAGCAAAACTGTTTAGAAATCATATAAAATATAGTATACTCCTAAGTGAAAATATAATTTTGTATTAGTTAAACATAAATTTTTCAGTTAGGCTTTTGTGTCACTGACTTCTTTGGGAGAGAACAAATTCTGATACTAAATGGTCTAGTCTGCTGAGTATTAAGTGGGATGTTGTCTTGGGTTCATATTCTAAGAGGGACACACAAAGCAGTAATCAACCTAGAGAAGGGAAGTCAAAGACTTAAGTAGGAAGGTGAAACGTGGCAGCTGAAATAAAGTTGGCAGTATATATCTGTTAATGCCACTTTTTGTCATAAAAAATGGATTGGTAGAAATACTTCTGCAATTGCATAAAAACAGCAACTGTGGTTCTTAACTGTAAAATATCAGAACATAAAAATACAGATTTAACAAAAGTAAATGTAGTTTCTTTTGTTGAACTGGATTTTTACCTTTTATGATGAATGAGTGTTTGTGATATTTGCAAATAGTTGTTAATAATAGGAGGTAACCATTACGCTGAGTGATGGATGCATTTCCAGAGTGTTTTCCTTCTGGTGGAGATGAGCAAGCAAGCCATACTAAAAATTGTTAATAACCTGGAATTCAAGATAATTTTTTTTTACCCTTGGCATACTTTATTAATCTAGCTTTAATTTTTGTGTATTTTAGTGTTGTGCATGTAGATACGGAGCTTCTGTACCAAGTACAGATTCCCTACCCTGTTACCCGAAGAAAACATATCAAATAGCATTAGGTTGTATTTTCTAATTTCCAAAGCACAATTTTAAAATGAGACTGTGGTTTCGGTCTCAGTTCAGGTGGGATTATATATGCAACTTCCTTCAACTTTGTTGTGTGCTGGGACTTCTCTTTTCTTTCAGAGGGGTTGCATAGGTAAGATTCCCTTGTGCAAAGAAGAGAATAGGTCCTAAACACTTGATTTAAAGGGCAAATTTAGTATTCTGCATGTAAATGAAAGCATTTGGTATTTTTTTAAAGTTAAGTTGTAAACATTTTGTCTTGTTGCTGTCTTAATGAAGAAGAGCTTTATTGTAGTTTTGTTTATACACACACACATATATAAAAAAATACAGTTATCTCCTGGTTTGTATGTTTCATTTTCACTAAGATGTATGTTGCCATACATTTTTTTTGTTTCATTCTTTACATTGATTAATATTCATAAACGGATTTAACAGTCTCAGTCATTTAATAAATATCAGCAGTGCTGAAAAGAGTTACTCCCCATATTACTGTGTTTTGCCAGATAACATGAAGTTGCCTCTGTGCCTGCAACCTATGAATGGCACCTATACTTCTCCTTATTGTGTACCTATAGCCTAACTGTGATACTGTACTGGCATTTTTTTTAAAATGTTACACATCTAGTTTAGAAGGATTTTAAAGGTCCATTGTGCACATTTTTGTATACAGTGAAATTCAGTTTGTACTGTATTACATTTATAGAGATGGGTTAAATTGGAATAACTTACTAAATGTGTTTATAATAATAAAACTCTATTAAAAAATTTAGATGTACCATAGCAGGTATTTACATTTCTGTTTGTACACTTCATGGTTGAAAATTAAATTCTTGCAAGATTTTGTGCCTTCACTTGAGTAAGGCTTCACATACATTGATAATCCATTCTACAGAATTACTATAAACTGAATGTTTCCTTGAAACATCTTGCTTTTGCTTGTAGAAAGCCTATAGATATAAAGGAGAACAATAGATTTAAGACAAATGTCTAAGCTGTATTAGACAAGAAAACTAAGACTCCAATAGAGTGATATTTAGAAGGATTAACAGCAAAATTAATGTGTACAAACAGAATAGTAATGTAACTTCATCAGCATGAGTCCTGACTTTTTTTAGACAGATTTTTTTTTAGTTTAACTGATACTCAATGATGTACTTCTAGCTGATACATTGTCCCAATCTTAATCTGTCTGAATTTCTATAACTGCTGAATGTTAAGTTTTTCATTTTATGTTTTTGTTATTGATTGATTATTTCCTATTTAAACTGGATTGGACTGAGTTGCAAAGACAAAAACACACTAACATTGTAACAGTTGATATGTATGTAGACTTTGTACTCCATATTTCATGTTTTTTTCTCTGATTTTTCTGCTCTCAAACCACTGTAAGCAAAATAATTTCAAGTCTAATGTACTTCTGAGGCTCATATGCTTCTTCAAAAACTGCTCTCAGCTCTCAAATAGTTTCAGCTTTGGAGTGATCTAAGAACTAACATGGTTGGATTTTTTTTTTGTGTTAGTAGGAGGAGAAATGTTACTGATAGTTTAAGTAATATTCATTATATTTTTGCTTGTGTAAGTAGGAACTGTCCTGTAACAGTGTGTTAGCAACCACTTAAACATCAAGTGAAGTATGAAATTAGCCTTTTAAGAAACCTTGTAAATTAATACAAAAATGCTTGGTTTTGTATGTTATTTTAATAATAAGCTTTGAGTTAATAACAGAATTTTCAGTGAATCATGTGGTGACATTGTTCAAGACCTGGGTATATGTACCTGTCTAGGATTATTTCAGATCTTCTTAGTATTAAGCTATTATGAACGTTATTTACCTAATCTCTCTTTTTTTAAAATGTGTATTTTTGAGGAAGCACATATGTGGGGCTGGCACTATTCTATTGCATCTAGCATTCATCAGAGAAATCATGCTTTGTGCATCTGATTCAGTATTTTCAATCCACCATAGAGTGAAAGAGGCAAGTAGTGCCACTGTTTCATGTGCTTCTTGATGTCTGTTTTATGGCTATTCTGGTGCTTTACAGAAACATATAGTTTGTTTCTTAATGTTCAGTGATTTCTCTCATTTTCTTGAGGGTGATAAGATGATTCCAAAAACAAACTGAAAATCTTATGCTATTGTTTATTTTCAAATGCATAACTGCATAACTTTTATTAATTTTTTCCATGAACGTGTTGCTGTAATTTTGTTGTCTTCTGAGGTGTCCTTAGACACACTTATATTTCTGTGTTCCCCACATCCTGTGCTTTTTTCTTTTGTTTGTGAAATCACTAGTTTTGACAAATTTGAGCTGTGTGAAAGTTCCCCAAGAAACTTTAAGGCTTTATAGCATTTGAAACATAAAGAAGTTACTTGCAAGTGAAAATGTTGGTTTGATGCAGTGTTCTCCAACAAATGAACAAATCTCTTTTTTTTTTTCTTTTGCTCATTGTGGTTTGAGAACTAACATTTCTTTTTACAAAAAAAAAAAAAGAGAGAGAAATGAGAGAGAGATCTTCATTTTTATGTTTTCCTGTGGCAGCCTGATCTACCTTTTTGTGTCTTCCTCATATATTAATGTGAAAGATACTTCCAATAATTCACATCTTTTTAATTTGTAAACTAAAGATTGAGTTTTCTGAACACACCTCTGTTCATCAGTTATTTTTGGTGACTAGACACTAGGCTGGGATAGTAGAAGAAAGACATACGATGAATGAAACTAGTTTGTGAGTGTTCTGTGTAAAATTATTTATAAAATCAGGAAATTGTTCTGGTGTTGATCTTTAAATTATACACTAAGATTGAACAAAGACCAGGTAAGTACATTAATAATGGGGGGGGGAGAAATACGCAACAAATGGAAGAAGGTGCTAGTGGTGGTAAAATAGTGTGTTTGTACACGTATGATGAACAGAATCACATATGTATATCGACTTACACAGAGAAAGACAAATATAGAGTCAAGCTTGAAATTCCTTCTTTCTCGCTGTGTTATAGCTAAAACATAGTATTTGGAGGTTTGTAATGTTCTGGAATGTAGGTTAAGTTAAAGGTTTTGGCTTTCAAGCTGATACTTTCTGTGGGATTTTTGCTTTATGTATTTTTTTTTCTTTATGTGTAGAATAAAATAAAGGAGAATTACATGAAGTAGTTCTTAGGAGCCGTTAGGATATAATGACAAATGTTTATCATGCATTTTACTGAAATGTGAACATGGGAGATTGAAATTCGGTCTCTGAAAATATCAGAAATTACTACACTACTATAAACTTGAGGGGTATATGCACATACTGCTTTAAACTACTGTAGAATCCTCACACTTCTAAAAGCTGTTTAAAGCTTTTTATATGCTTATTTGGGTAATTGGAATTAAAGGAAAAAATTAGAGTTGCTATTGCAAGATGCTTTATACATATAAGAAATCTACTGGTTTTTGTTCTGAGAGTGTCTGTGAAAAACAATGCTCAAGTTGCATCTTGCATAAATACAAAAATGTTTGATCACTTAAGTTCTGGGATTTCATTTGTGAAATGTTCTGGCATAAAACCTAACTTTTAAACCACAAAATAACTATTTAACAGTTAAGTCTGAAATTTGGGGTTTATTAGTAGAAATGCTGAGAAACTGATCACTGTATGGTGTTAAATTGTACAAACCTAACACATGCTTGGGACGGGTAGCTTATATGAGCTTGAGGCAGATGGAAAACAGCATTGCCAAGAAGTACTGACTAGAGATTTAATTTTTTTTTTTTTAACGTTGTTTCTTACTTCAATATTCTACTTGCTTGTAGAATACTGAAAAGGGCTGAGCATGAAGGTATAATCCATACAGATTTATTTCTTCCTTTTGGAACCACAAAGGTTCCTGGTTTTGCCAAGATACAGTGGCAGAATATTTGGAACCAAAATGTACACCACTTTGGATTTTAGTTGGTCGTGTTTTTCAAAATGGAAGTTCAGCGTGGTGCTGACAATCTTAAGAGCCCTATGTTGAAAAGCATTAATCCTAAGTCCAATTTATCGTGCATTCTTTAAAGTTCCTGTAGTTCCATAAGTACACTTAGAAATCTAGCAAATTATTCCCAGGAACTAAAGCTTTCTTATACTAGTATTATAAATCATATATATGGTGCTTTGGATCTGTTGACTGTCGCCGTAGAAGTGATAAAGATCCATAATTCTTGCCGCAGCAATTGTATGATGAGAGCAGCAAATTCTGACATGCAGTCTCACAGCTGTCATATACTTACTTTCTCCACTAAAAAACTGAGATTTTCCCCTGTCTGTGTGTGCTAACTTAGCTCGCAACTCTGAATACATCTTCTTGTGGAGGCAGCACTTTGTCACTTGCTACTAATTAATTTTAAAAAGTACCTAACACCTATGGAAATTTTGGTCTCTGGGGAAGGAACTTCCTCAAAAGTAGTTATTGGTTGATACATTCATGACTTGGGAACAAAGTCTGCAAATAAGAAAAGAAATTCGAGTCACTGCTTTGGATTTGGGTTAGTTTATGTGCATACTGTAGTGTAGACCCTACTTGGTTATACGTGGTTTTTAGTCATTATTAACAGTCACTTTGAGGAAAGGAAGAAGAAATGTGTCAATTGTTCATGCAAAAATTGAGTACTTTGTTTTCCCAACTGCTTTGAAATTATTATACTGGTAGAAGAATATTTGACAGCTGTGTACTGGTGCACGTTCATGAAATTGCTCCTCTGAATGTCTTGTTTTTCAAATGAACAATTTAATGTGTTGGGTTTTTTGAACAATTTGATTTAAACTATTTTGAAATTATTGAATGTTGAAATTGTGAATTATTAATGAAATGAAGATAGCTAATTGTTTTGTAATGGAATTCAACTGAAATCCAGTGTATGGAATTATACCATCCCAAGTATTTTGTGAACTCTTACAGTAATTAACTCTGAATGGTGTGGTTCCTTAATTTGCCAAAATAGATGAGAGTAGGAAGTAGGGCTTGGGTTTTTTCTAGGGCAAGTAGGTGAGGAAACCTGCAAATCTATATTGTATTACTTGAAAAGTGGGTTCTTGTGATTAAACTGCAAGCGTGTATTTTTAGATGTGTGAAGCCCATGCTGCTTGCTGCTAGTCTGAAAATTTTGAAGTACTGGTATCAGATTCTGTGCACTTTTAAATGTTACTGAGCTGTGAGCCATCCACTTCATTATACAATCAGTGCATTACTTAAATGTCAAACCAGCTTAAAACTTCTGTAAGTGAGCAGGTAAAAATGTAAAAATCTAGTTGTGGCAAAATTACCTTACGTGCTTGTTCGTTTACTCTTGCAGAATGCATACTTTAGGAAATGTTCTCTATAAATGTTTCCATCAGTCACGGGAACAGTAGCTATTTCTTCCTTTATCATTCGATACTTCAACTGTGAAATTTATATTCTTTCAACTTTGTTGTACAACAACATTAATTTTATTTTTAACTATTGTATTAGAAAACAGTTTCGTGCACAAACAAGTAGCTACTGCTTCTGGGTATTTTGTGTTAGTTTACATTACGGTGAAGTAGATGCACGACTTGTGTATGTATAGATAAGCCAACAATTTTCTGTGTATTATGGGGACTAGCAAAATCTACATCACAAATTTTGACACATTACAGCTGAAGGAAGAGGAACATCGTGCAAGGCAAGATACAGTCTTCAAGGAAAGATGCTTGTCCAGCAGTTTGCTTCATGTGATTGAACTGAGCCTGTAAGGATTCATGGATAAAATGAACAGGAATAGATCTGAATAAAGCAAATCTGCATACATGGTAACCAGTAGCTCTTTTACTTTTTTATGTTGCTTAACTGTTTTATTTGAGGGAAACCTGTGTGATTTAAACCTTATAGCTTTTGCAACTTTATTACTGGTTATATACATTTGGCAATTATATAATGTGCAAGCAATTGGAAAAAGTCAAGTAAATGCTTGTTTTTATAGTAGTTTGTTCATGTTAAACTGTTCATATGATAATGTCTGTACACAGCACCACTTTGATTACAGTAGATGTAGTGTTGTAATAAACTGTTTAATGGGGCTGATGTGTAAAGCTGTTCAAGTTATTTGATGTTTACACCTCAGGGAAAGTCTTGTGTTCAGCAATATTTAAAGATAATGTTACAATGAAAACATTGATGCTGTCTTTAAAAACATCGCAATAGTTCTTGCATATGCCTCAACCTAATCTTGCATTCAGTGAGTTAAACATACTAATGTTGCTCTCACACATTCAATTTTGATATGAAAATAGGTGGTTACATAAAACCTTTAATGCTATTTTGCTTTCTAGCAGTGTTTACCTAGGTGGCTTGTGAATTTGCTAATTGACATATAAAACTGTAAAAACTGCAGTTCTTTGTGGTCTGTTTTTTTGAGGAGAGGTGGTCCCAGGTCTGTGACTTTAGCACGCTGAAAATTTTCTCTCTCATACAACCTTGATCCTGATTGACACTACAGTTAATATAAACTTAAACTGTTCATGTGAACCTAAACTGTCCATAATAAGGGGTGGAAAGGTTAGCTTTAAAAACCAAACCAAAACCCTGCAGTTGTTTACAGTTTTATAGTAATAGTGCTTGTGTGTGTTCCCCCTCCACCCCCAAGGCCGTAGCAGTTTGTACATAGTTGTATATTAGCAATGTGCCAGAAGAAACCAGATGTTCCCATTTTTCAGACTTTATGGGTTTGGTATTTTCTTAATACTTCGGGGTTTATTCACACATGCATATAAAAGAGAAGGTACACTTGTATGTCCTTGTTCAGTGATGGGCAATATTTAATGTCTTAGCAAAAAGTGGCGCTAATTAAATCTGTCAGATGAGGTTTTGTAAATTTACCTAAAAACAAGTTATTGGAGCTCACAGTGGAGGTTGACTTCAATTTATAAGAATTTGTTTTAAATTTCATTGTGTGAAATGTGAATAGAAAGTGCATATAAGTTGCAAAAACTTAGTTTCTGGCAGCCTTGCACAAAGGCTCACTTTTAGTCTACTGCAAATCGTTATGTAACGGATGTATTCTTCAAGTTTTCACTTATTCAAATAGCTGCACTTCATGTTTTAAGTTAAGTTTCAAGACCTCAGATGGCTTTAAGAGGCAACTCTTAGGCAAATCTTCATTTCTCCCCCCCCGATTTTGAAGATTTCACAGCCAACCTAAAATGTTACCCTGTTCAGGAAAGCACTTAACTCCATTTGGTTTTCCAGAACATTTAAAGCATGTGCTTACATTCCATAGATTTCAAGGAATGTAAACATATGCTTTAAGTACCTTATTTGCATACATGAGCGATTTTTATGCTTTACTGAGTTGGGACCAGTAGCCTGTGCAACTGTGAAAGTTTTGCATAAGTCTGAAATGCTCTAATGCTTTTGTCACCTACCACTCAGCCAGGTTTCCTGCAGCCAAGTTGATGCTG